AAAAATCTCCTCTGTCAATTATACCTTTATAAAATTCTCCTTGTCCTCTATAATAGTATTTGATATTTACATTTGGGATAGTTTGGATCTTAGACTTCCTGTGTCCTCCAAATACAGTTGAAGGCTTCACTTTCTGTGGTTTTAGTTACCCATGGTTGACTACTATCTGAAATTATTTAAATGGAAAAACTCCAGAATAATTCATAAGTTTTAAATTGTATGCCATTCTGAGTAGCATGATGGAATCTTGCACATTTCTGTTTTGTCCTGCCTGGGTCATTAGTCATCACTTTGTCCAACACGTTCATGCTGTGTACCTTACCAGTCACTCAGTAGCCTCTAGGTTTTTAGCTTTACTGTCGAATATAATGGGTCTAAAGTTTGGTGCTATCTGAGGTTTCTGCATCCATTGTAGTTTTGAAATGTATCCCCTGTGGATAAGAAGGGACTACTATATGCCAATATTAGAAGGAAAATAAACCCTGCTTGGATGTACTTTATGCTTTAGTTATGTAAGAAGGTATCATCTGTCTTAAATAGGAAAACAGAGTGAACCTTCCTAATAAGAGGTAATAAATGACCCTATTAGAACAGATAGAAGAGGAAAAAGGAGTGAAGCTGTAAATCTGGTGGGATGTTGAGTCAAAGTGTAGATTTAAATATATATGTGAGTAAGGTATCTCAGTGTCTTCAGTGTCTGTGTTAAGAAAAGAAAAAGACACCCATGGCTCCATAGGAGGTTGAAGTTGAAAAAGATCTTCCTCTGACAGATGAATATGAGAGAGCAGTAGAGGGGTGGACTCAGTTTCTCTTTCTCTGTCTAATTTTGCTCTCTTGTCTATGTAAGAAAAGTCATTGGTGACTGGCTCTCAGTAGCCCAGTCTTGCAGTTACTCATATCAGTGGTGCTCTGATTGGAATGTTTATGTCCCCCTAAAATTCTTATGTTGAAATTCTCTCCTCCAGGGTGACGGTGGGGACTTTGAGAGGTGATTAGTTCATGAGGACTCGTGAATATGATTAGCACCCTCATAAAAGGCCTTGTAAATCCTCTACCATGGAGGGACACAGCAAGAAAGCACAATCTATGAGAAAGTCACCCCGTACTAGACACTAACTCTGCCTGTGCCTTGCTCTTGGACTTTCCAGCCTCCAGATCTGTGAGAAATAAATTTTTGTTTATAAGTTATTCAGTTTATGGCACAACTATGTGCCACACAACAACATTTCAATCAACAATAGACCACATAGATGACATCCTGTAAGATTATAATGGGGCTGTCCTATGCAGATGTAACTTTTTTTTAGTCTTTTATACCATTTTTATATGTTTAGATACACAAACAATACACTGTATTTCAGTTGCCTACAATGTTCAGTGAGATAAGAATCTGTAGAGGTCCATAGCTCAGGAGTGATAGACTGTATCATCTAGGTTTTTGCAAGTAGACTTTATAATTGTGCAACAATGAAATTGCCTAATAATGCATTTCTTAGAACATAGTTTCAGCACTAAGTGACATAAGACTGTATTTTGTTACAGCAATTCAGGTTGACCAAGACAGTATTCCTGATATCAGAATGACCTAGGGTGGTACGAGGCTTATCAACACTTACCTTTCTTATATTTTCTTCTAAAGTTACTTTCTTAGTTGGTCTTCCTAATTGATTTTTTTTTTTATTAAATCATAACTGTGTACATTAATACTGTCATGGGGTACAGAGTGCTGTTTCTATATACAATTTGAAATACTTTCATCTAACTGGTCAACATAGCCTTCATGTCACTTTCTTAGTTATTGTGTTAAGACATTTATATTCTACATTTTGAGAGATTCCCATGTACCCTCATAGGATGAACCATAGGCGTGGTCCCACCAATCACCCTCCCTCTACCTCTCCCTCATAGCTTTCCTATGAAAACTATAAATTAGTTTCATAGTAGGGCTGAGTACATTGGATACTTTTTCTTCCATTCTTGAGATACTTTGCTAAGAAGAATATCTTCCAGGTTCAGC